GTCTTTCTTGTAGTGAGGGTCCCAACCTGGACACAGGACACAGCATCACCTCCCTTTCTGCTGAGTGCAGAGAGACAATCACTTCCCTGATTATTCTGGCCACATTATTCATGATAGAGCCCAAGAGCCTGTGCAAGGCCAGGAGTTAGACTCAGTGATCCTTGCGGGTCCCTTCCAACTCAAGATATTTCAAAATTCTATTAAATTCCACCTCCCTAGCAGGAGGAAAGAAAAAGTAAGSAAAGCCTCCTAAACAATTCAACTACTGTCAAAAATCAGTTTCCAATCAAGAATTGTGATTCAGAAAATGTACATCATAGTGAATGCTATTTAAATAAAGGGAGATTTAAAAACCTTTTGTAAAACAGTAGGTAACAAAAATACCATATATAACAGTGACAAAGTATATGGCTAAAGAAGAGTGAAAATTCCGAAGCAGCTTTGGAAACATCCCTTTTTCCACTAACCTTTTTAAGCCTGCAGTGTGAGGGCAAAAGGCTTGCAAAAAGGCACATCTCAGATTCTGCAACGCACACTGCATATGTGAAACAGTAATTGTTTTGAGATTTTAGACATATACTGTGCTGTCACTTGAAAAAAGTGATGGATGAGAAACTGGAAACCTCAAGGAATTAGTAATAGGATATAAAGCATTTCACCTCTGGGTCACCAGTTCAAATTCAACCAGGTTGGTAGTGACCAAAAGTAGTTACCATCTGGCAGCTGTTCCCTGGCTGATGTAAATTGAGTTGAGGGTCTCAGCGCATTTCCTAGTGGACAGGTGTCCTCAGCACAAAAAAACACCATAATTAACTCTCTGTTTGGCTTTCTCAGCAAAGCCACTGAACAACGAATGGAAGCAAAGACTGAGCTGTATTCCAGGTTAACATGGAAGCATGCTGGCTGCAGAGAACTGCAGATTCTTAATCATAATTCCTCTTTATATTTTAAGACACATAGGGAGGGATTTAATTCATCATCATTAAATTAAACTGAGTAGCCTTTCCAACTCAARATAGAGTTTATGCGCTGCTATTTCTACTCAATTCAGATTTCTTTTCAACATGCAGCTACAGCAGAGTTTGGAAGCACAATGAATGAAYGCAAAGTATAATGACATTATTAAGAAGGGTAAATTTACCCTAACACACACACTTCATCTTAAAAAACCCCACACTTATTACAGAGGACAGGGAAACAAAAATGAACCAGGATTTGGATTATCTCACATAAACTGTTGAGTAAGATTGTGCAATTTTGGAAAACAGAGACTTACTGTAAAGAAAACATAGAGATGCATACTTTAAGTCGACACCACCAAGGGAAGGGATTTTGGGTAGGAATRCCACCCACAGTTATTATAAGACTTTTAAAATGGATCCAGAAGTTCTGACTCGTGACTCTCTAAAGGAACAAACAAGGAACAGTTCTAGGCAGAACTGCGTGTGACCAAGCTTCAAAATGTTATGTGTGAAAAACACTGGAAAAAAAAATTACTTATGCTGTGTTTTCCTCAGCAAGAACTGGAAAATTTATTGAGCCTACTTATGGCCCATGTGCACTTTGCCCAAGACACGGGACCAGCAGTGCATCGTATGACCTGCTGATAGGCACCATCTAAACCATCTGTTGCTGAAWTTTTTTTGGCTCTGCTATATCTGATATTAAAATAGGTATAGTTACTGGATGTCCTTGCTCCTTTTGGCATTTTTGGAATAAAGGCAACTGAAACAGAATTAAAGCATTCTGTATCATCAGTCTTACAAAATTGAAAGGCATTTCTTCAACATCAGTGGTCTGTAGAGACTGAGCCAAGGGCTACTGGTATTAAACACAGAAGAGTGTGAAAAGTGCAGTTTCAGAGAAGAAAGAGCTGGAACTACTAAAAGTGGTGTTTTACCCCCTTGGGTAAAATGCAGCCAGAGCTCACAGGCTGCTAGAACACTGCATTTGGAGCTGCAGGGTTTGAGGCAGTTTAAGCAGTAGTTGACTTTGAAACATTCTTAACACACCTTCAGATAACATTAACTTTAAATAAACCTGCTGAATACTCATGTAAATTATTTCCATTTGGCTGTCTCATTATTCAATATGCTTTCAAGGAACATGGTGATGAAAGAAGAAAAATACCTCTTTCTAACATAACCATACTGGCAAGAGGATCAACATTATCAGTATTCAAAGAATGTCTTGGCAGGGTAAACCTTCATAAAAAGAAGGAGCACTAGCTAATCCAAGTTGTCAAAATAGCAATAGTACTTCAAGGGTTGATCTGCAAAGTGATTCATTATTTATTGCTAATGCAAACAAAATATTCTGAGCAGAAAGAGCTACTGAGTGTTTCCTATCTGGGAAACCCACTGATGGAGAGAACACAATAAATAAATCTGAGAAGGAACAGAGAATATCTATTTTCTTACTTACTAAAAACTAACCCAAAGGCTGGAAGAGGATTGTCTGATTTCTTTTCTGTGAAGAACCACACTCAATGGCAGAATTTTCCAAACTAACACAGATATGGAATGTATCAAGGAAAAATTYCTGGAAATTTCATTCAAAACCATAAGACACACACCCATTTAAAAAAACTCAGTCAAACATGGTGGAAATCAAACATGCRATGTATCATGCATCCTAAAACCATCTATACTTCAATAGCTCAGTAGGAGGCCTGACTTGCCAAAGAAAGTTTCTGCTGGATTCAATTGGGCAATCATTTTCAGATGCCTAACCTCAGACACTTTAGGACAGTTCCAGCCCTACTACTTTCTTCCTCAGTAAAGCCAGGGCTATGCTTTCACAGAACCACAGAATGGTGTGGGTTGAAAGGGACCTTGTGGATCACCTGGGTCCAACTCCCCAGCCATGGAGACCTTTCATAAGACCAGGTACACAAACTCCATCCAGCTCATCATTCTCCTTTAACTACATATAAAATACAGGACTTTAAAACCAGGGGGGGATTTGGTTTTTCTTGGGGGATGAGTGTTCTTGGTTTTGTTCTGTGATGTGGGTTTTTTTAAAGCACTGGTTTAGTAATTTCTTGACAAAACTTCCTTGAAATACACTTTCATTTACACTTCTTTTACTTACTACCTTTTCTAGTCTTCCATCCATTTTTCCTTGTCTCCTTCTGTAATAGCTCATCTCTGCAATCTTCTTGCTCTTTTAAGCCTCGGAACCTGATCATACTCCCAACATGTATCTTCTTCCATTGCAACAGAAAGTACTGGCTCAGCCTCAAGAATTTGGGATTCTAAGAACTCCTCTGAATAATTGCATATTCAATTTGTCTTTTAAATAAACACAAAATCTATGAGCTACATAAAAAATACAGCTATYCTAAGAAGTTGACTCTTTCTCCTAGTACATGTCTAAAAAATGTATGACACACACACAAAAAAATATCACCAACACTATTCAGCAGAGTATTACTACAGCACAGGTATGCTGAAATGTCTGTATAGAAAAAACTGCCTGCCTGGTCCAAATTAATAAYTGTAATGACAATAATATTTAGCATCTAAAGGAAAAAGAAATAAAGAACATTCATGTTTTATGATAAGGTAAAACAAGTTGCTATACACTGGAAATTCAAATTTTTTAAAAGGTATTATACAACAGATAACTTTTTATTTTGAAAGGAATGCCACTGGCAGTGGAAAGACAGGAATCTGAATTCAAATTCTTCAAAGTTCCGTTTTTAATTTTAAAACTATTTTAAAGCATCTCCACATGCACACACTACACTTTCTGTATATTTAAGCCTTTAATTTTCCTGTCTCAGCAACAGCTACTGAGCGACCTCTTGTGATGAAATGTTTGAGCACTTCTCACTTTCTCACTTATTTTTCTCTCTTTTAAAAAATAAATGAACAAAAGGCTGGCAGTGCAAAATGAAGAGTAAGAAAAATCAGCACTATCTCTGCCATTACAATGAATGATACTGCCTGGAGGTAGCTTTTGTACCCATTCACTTAACCCCTCCAAYTGGGTATTGAAGAATGTACCTCTGAAGCTAATATGATAGGTGCATAAAACCCCCCCTACATGTAATGGCAACTACCATGCCAGTCTTCACACCATTTTTGCAGGAAGTATTGTGAAAAAGACACACGATCACCTTCTTTTACCTTCCTGCCATTGTATTAAAATAAGCAGAGAAAAAAATGTCCCAATGTCCTCAAYAGCCTGATCACAGGAATGAAATCAAAATACCATAAAGTAAATACCCTTTGCAACTTGTTGGAGAGGGTAAAAACAAAACACCAATAAAAGAAAATTAGTTTTGTTAATCAACATTTAAGACCAGTATTGTGAACCACTGCTAGATATGTCAAGGAGCTCAACACAATCTTAGAATCAGACATCCCCCAAGATGTCTGGTTTCAAACTCTCAGGGATCCCAACGAAGTAAGGCTGCAAGTAGCTACTTGCTCAGTTTTAAAATGCTGATTCTGTAACCAGATTTAGTTTTTCACAGTATCTGCACACTGATATTTAAAGATACATACATAAATATAATCAAAACATGTTAAGTCCAGAAAAGGAAGGGAATTCTGTTGCCATTTCAGAAAAGCCCACACTGACATTTACTACTCCCACTGAAAAGGAATTGAAGTATGAATCTGATTGATGGAGTAACCAATCAAAARTCTCAATTAACATGACAAGTATCAACAAACAGCATTATTTTGGAGCAGAAACAGAATTACTCAGGGATCTGGCCACGAGATGTCACTCTCTACTTTGAGGCAACAGATGCAAGAGACCAAAGCTATCTGAGCCTGAGTTTTGGGAGTTTAATATCAAAAGCTGTAGCCTTTATAAATACACACCTACAAAAGGAAAAAGTAACTGGTAGTCCAAATCAAACCTATGATGAAAGAAAATTTTTAGGAGTGAAAGATTTTATATAAGTACTACATGAACAGAATAGGAWTCATCAGAAATGCATCCCTAAAATAGCTGACAAAAAAAAAAAACAACCTCATTATTACCTTATTATGCGTTAATGTTATCCTCAGGTCTGGTTTTATGATACCATATGCTGTCAGTAGATCTTGGACTTTTTTMAATTCTTCCTTACATTTTCTATCTGTTGAGTAAAACTGCTTTCTTACAGGAAGATTCTTAAATAGATTTAGGACTGTTACTGTAGTACCTGCAAGCAGGTGATAAAAAATAAGTAAAAATTACACTGAAAGCAAATCATTGACTGGCTATTGAGGAAACCATGTTTACTTGAACAGGCATGTTTGTATGCTGCTGCACTAAATCAGGTTATTAGCATGAAAACAAATGTACCAAATTAGCAGTCATTCCCCCCCCGCCCCCATAAAGGTATCTCAAGAGCTTTGATTCCTGATTTTTAGGGTTCTGACTGCAGCATTAAGGTTTCTTTCACACACACTAACAACATCAAGAATCAGCATTAAATAAAGCTGAAGACTTTCAGTGTGTAGGTTAGCCTTCATTAGCAAAATGATTAATTAACAGACTAGAATGTAATTGCACACATCTGGAGGCAAAGGAACATTGTGTTACATTAAAGGCCTTCACAAACACTTGCTTTAGGGTAGTACCTGAAGTGCCAGATACCTCTGTTCAAGGTGCAGTACACAGTGAGAAAGGAATATTTATCTACCAACACAATCACAAATTCTTAACCCCTAAGGATATTGCAAAGCATTAAATATGTSAGAGAATTCAACGATTTCAATGAATGACAAGGCAATGCAACCTGCAGGCTTTCTGGCCATGGAAAACACTACAGGCTAAAGCTTAAAAAGAATCCTCAGTTAAAAGTAGGTACACACCCTTCCTGCAGATTAGAAAGAAGCATGGCTTTGCCTGGTCCTACAGCCATGCTGCTTCCAGCAATTCCTACGTACAGCAGCAGGGCAACTCTTCCTCCTTTAAGCAAGGATTTTGCTACATACAGAAACATTACTTTGGTCATGAACAAATCTTTTATATACTTATATGATCTGGAGCATTTAGTTTTTATAAGTTTTACTTCCACCATCAGCTTGAAGAAGTGAGTTAAGAGAAGGAGAAACTAGTTTTTATAATTACAATCTAGAACAACTTCCAAGACATATCATTTCTTATGCTATGACAACACATTCTCAGCTGACAGATACAAGGCAAGAAATGTTTACAGCTGCAAAGATTTCATACTCAGCCTTAAAGTACCCAACAGGTATTTCAACATCACATAGAGCCTCAAAGAAACACAAAGTACTTCTGTCACAGTGCAACATCAGAATGGTGATGTCCTACCTTGCCCAAGGTGGGAAGGCTTTTTAGAAGTTACATGCCCCTTGCTATCCAAAGCATACTGAATGCTGAAATCATCATCAGCTGTCTTTGTTGTGACCAAAACCTGAAAAGAGTGATTTAAAAAAAACCTACATTAATCAGAGATAGACAAAGCTCAGGATAAGCTTAGATAAGCTTTGCTACCACACTCACCATTCTGTTACTTTAGTCATCACAAGTACATTCAATTAATTTACAAAATTTTCTTTCTACAGGTTTTTCTTACAGGCACAGAAACATTCTGCATTATTCTGCATATTTCCATCCATTTTACTAAAATAATTTCTATCACACTAATAGACAAAGCATAGCATTCCTATGACCTACGACACACACTGCTCTACCTTCTATTCTAGCATGGATTAAATAAACTAAATCAATTGATAGTTCTGCATTTTTACCTTCTGGGAAAGAAACACACTATGAAAACTTGAATTCAGGTGAGGTTCCACAAACCTACAGACTACTCTCAAATAAACAATATATTATCTTTCCACACCTGAACATACCTATCAATAAGTCACAGCATGTTTTGTAAACTACTAGGGTAATACACAGATTGCTTTAGCAAGAGYAGTCATAAATCAGAGTTCAGGTACCAACATGATGAACAACAGAACCAATGCCCTTTAACCGCCTGAAAGACAAAGTTTAACACACATACAGAGTTTCAGGATATTTTGGTTTATTTTAGTGTCTCATATGAATCATTCAGGTTCTGTCATGCCCCTGGAGAGAAAAACAGTAATTGATTAATCGGAAATTACAGTATTACAGACCTACTTAAGGGCCAAGTACCTTCAAACTGAAACTTCAGGGAGCAGTTTGGGTAAGATGAATGCAATTAATGCCAGGAGTGTTAATTAACATAATGACTGATACAAGGAATAATACTTATTAAAGCACTTCATAGACTCAGGCCCCTCCCAGCTCTTATGAAACGTACCATAGAGCTGATTAGAAGCTCTGAACAGATGGCATTCTGCTCTGAGAGCTCATTAGAAGGAACCAATGATTGAGGTCTGTCATCATCTATCAAAACACCAACATTTCTGCAAGCATCTTTGGAAATCTCCAACCAAATAAACAACCCACTCCTGCTTAGTGCAATATGAATGTAGCCCAAGGTATCAAGGAGTCAAGCTGTAACATCATCTCTCCTGACCTCAACAGCTGATGGATCCAATCAGACACAGGTATCGGTATCTGCCTGCACAATCTAATCCTCAGCAGACTTGAATCCAAAACTTCACCTTGCTACAGCATGAATACAGAAAGGCAGAGCACAACAGAGCTGGCAGATGCTGTGCCTTTAGCAGCCTGAACACTTTTCAGATGGTTTTGAACAAATTTACTGACTTTTAGCCAACAAGTTAAGTTGCAAGTATCAGTACACTGCCAATCCTCTTAACACAAACATATGGCTCAGACTCAGACAGGTCAGGTAGCAGGTTCCTGTTTACTCATAGGGACAAAGTTTGTGCAATTGCAGTCACACACATGTCAAAGAGCAATAAAGAGCCTAGCAAGATCCCATGACTGCTGATCACCTTGATAACAAGGCAGAAATCGTTACTGGAATAGTGCCTATGTGGGCCATCAGCTTCCTGAAATTATTTCTCCTGGCCATAACCTGATGCTCCTTGTGTTGATTTACCCTAATTCAAGTAGCAAACTGAGCCATACTCTTTGGCATGATACTCCCTGATATAGAAGGAATGAAAATCAAATGCAATCTGTCTCTTACCTGTTCTGACTGAGGAAAATAAACAGAGCACTGCTGTGACCTGTGTGACAGAAAGGCAGGACTGACACTAACACTAASAAATTCCTATGACGTGGCTTCTGGGGTTGGGGTGAAAGGCAGCATACACAAGTATATCTCTGGCAGGCTGCTGAACACTTAAACGTCTTTGCACAGAATAAAACTTTCATGAATACACAGAGACAACAAAAATCAAAACACAAACACTACACATTTACAGCCAAGTTCTCACCTCTGATATGCTGCAAATCGATCCCAAAGCTTCCCCACGGAAACCGTACGTGGTCAGCCTTTCAAGGTCCTCTGAAGAGCTTATTTTTGAGGTATAGTGTTTAATTGCCATAACTGGAACATCATCAACCTTGATTCCACTGCCATTGTCTCTCACTTCTATTTTGCTAAACCCGTAATTCTCCTAAAAAAAGAACAAAACACAAAGGAGCAGTAAAACAACCAAATTAATTAAGACATCAGTTYGAAGCAGCTAAGGTTATGATTTATAAACATCCATATAGAAGTGGAATTTTTGCTTGTTTGGAGGAAGTGAGCACTCATTAAGTGTCCCTCTTTAAAGAAAAAAAAAAAACCCAAACAAACCCCAACATGTTAGGATAACAGTGATGCTTTCCCTAATTAAACAACATAATACATATCCTATGATTTGGAAACAGAAAAAACTGAGCTCAGACAAAGACCTATATTRGAAAATTTGAGATATTTTCACCTCTGGTACCTAACTGGTACCTTTTTTTTGATGCTATCACTTGAAAGCAGCCCTGCATCCATTAAATTCAGAAGGTCCTCACTTACTACCATTTTCAGTTTCAATCTTATGTGATTMCACTACATTTTCCAAGTTCTATATTGTGTCTCAATATACAGAAGCTGAAATTCTAATGGAAAGAAAGGCATAAATGATGAAGGTAATAAAAAAGCTTGTAAAGAGATACRGTACTTTACAGAAAGAAGTATAAGTTCCTAACAGCTCTTTTAAAATAGCTTTCAAGGAAGCAAGGTTCAATCTTTGTGATTTATYTTTACATACATATCTTTATCTTTACATATGCAATGCATATTTTACTGGATTCCAGTTTAAATATGTCATTTCAGTAARCACCAGCATAAATAGTATAAAACTCTGAAAACCTGGATATTTACAACAGCTAAATGAAAGATGAAATTTMAGTTCTGGAACATTTCAAACAAATGTAGCAAAAGAATCCTCTTTGCAGCTACATTACAATCTGCTCAAGTGAACAGCACTGAGAAGAACCACAAATCAGGAGGAGAAAGTAATCAGAGCTGCAGGACCACCAACTAAGCTGCTTTTATGGAAGTAAGATGGACTCTTTGAAAAGACTATGATGCAACTCACAAAAAATGTGCTGTAGTGTGTAATAGATCTAGGTGACCTTAAAACTAGTTTTGCTGGAAAGGACACCTTAAAACAGAGGCTACCACCACTGRTGCTGGACAGAGCACGTGATGCTTGATCACTGAAAGTTGACTGATTAAACAGAACAAATTTTGCTGTCCTACCTGGGYCTATACTGAAAACTGTTATGAAAAAATATGTGCTCACAAGGCTATTTCTTGAAGTAAAAAAAAAAAGATGCAATTAAAAACAAAAGAAAGGTATCTAAAGATATACTCTTATTCACACATACTCTGCTTTAGGAAATATCAAAAGCCTCTGAGGTAAGCTCAGAACCACAATACACAAAACAACAGAAATATGGGTACATTTCACTTTCTGTGTAAATGAATGGTGCAAAACTGTCTTCAGGTGGAAAAACAAAGTTTTTGCTCATGTTTGACTCAACCTCCTACTGGGCAGCAAAACAGAACTAAGCAATACACCTCAAATAAGCATAAAAATGTATGAGGAGATCTAGGGAGGAAACCATCTACCCTGCTGCTGTACGTGCTAATGAAGGGTTTGAGAATTTCACAATGAACCCCTGTTTTCCATTCTAATTTTTACTTTCAGACCACTTAGCTGCTTAAGAAAAGTGAGATTTRTCTTGAATCAAAATGTTACATAAATAATTCTCTATTTCTCTCTTAATCTTATTAATTTTACTTTTGCATGTTTGATGTAAATATTACAGTGCTTAAACTTTGWATTCTATAGCACCTTCTTCCATCCTCCATGATCTAAATCCTGCCAAGCTTATCAACCCATGAAATGTTTAAGTTGCTCTGCCAGGTCACTGCTGCCAAACAGTATGATTCAGCTTTGATACACAGTGCAAGGATGCCAAATAACATCACCTATGGGCATTTGGTCAATGAASAYGGTAAYAACAATTAAACACTATCCAAAGCTTCCCACTATAGTTCACCACTGCCACAATTTMTASCTGAGAATCATTCCATCTTCAGGCTAATTCCTGTCTCTARAAAAGTAATTGCTATCTTTGTCCAGGCAAATTGGGTAAAATGTACCCTCCTATTCTATCTGAAAAATATTAAAACAATGAAAATGCCACAGTTTCAGGCAAAACCCATCAAGCTGTAAAATGGAATTTCAAAGTTTTTCTTCTCTATTATGCTTTTTAAGTTATCTAGAGTTAATGTGGTCACTGACCTCTATTATAGGGTCAAAGTTATTTTAATTTCCCAATAAAAAATACCAGAAGAAAATCCATTGTTTTACAGTATTACCATCTAGAGTTATGCAGAGTGCAGATTTTCTCTTCTTAATTCAAGAAAATCCTATACATTCACTGTTATTTGCAGAAAAGGAAATGAGACACAATTCTGGATACATACATTTACACAGGATACAACATTTTTTTCTTACAAAGCAGGAGATACTGCTACTATACAGCTGCTGACAAAACACTGCAAAAGCAGAAATATGACAGCAAGAGAAGCAGATTAGTTACCTATTTTACCAAATTTGGGGGGGAAAATAGCTCAAATTCTTTACAAAAAGAAGYATTTTCTATTGTCAGAAACTAACCTTGAGTGACATATCAATTTTTTTTAACAGCTCATAAAAATAGAGCAAGAATTAGCCAGAGTTCACCATGCTCATTAGAGTCAGGGTAGTAATTTATATTATAAAAACATCTAGAATGGTCATCAACCTTTCCCACTGTTTCCATTTTCACCCTCCTCACAATAGTTTGTAGTGAGCATTAAATATGTCAGTCTAGCAGTAAGCTTCAGTCCAATGTATTTTAAAATAGGCTATTAGTCAGGCAATGTAAATTTTAAGTAGGAAATGGAGGATTACGGAAGCTGACAGTTTTTTCCCCAAGATACACTCAGAAGCACAAATATGCTTTACTTTTTCAAAGCAGAGCCTCAAAAACAATAATGGAAACTAATTTTGTACCATTTTTACTTRAGGTAGAAATATGTACATATAAATACATAATGATAATCATCATTCGCCAAAACACTGTAGCCTAAAAAACCACATTTGCAGTTGAACAACTTTGCTTGCATCTTATTTTAAGTCAAATTGTTTGCAAGAGAGTGACTTACCAGTTTAATATCGATGCCTGTAGCACTGGCATCCAAGGAATTTTCTATCAGCTCCTTTACCACGCTGACAACAGAAGTAATCACCTGAGAGCTTGAAAGGAGCCGGATTGTCTCTCCCGGCAGCTGCTTCATGGTGGAATAARGTTCAGGGAAGCTGCACAGAAAAATAACAGAAAAAGAATGTAAAAGRAWSWSTAYAATTACACATTTCTAAGAAACTGTTTCACAGGAACTTCYAGATGTAGAAAAACACAACATYATGGTTGGAAATTTTCACRTTACAGTGGTACCCAGCTTCCTCTGCAGTCAACAGGGGCTGGGAGAGAAATAGGGAGGCAATACAGTGGTGCTAAAGAAAAGCCATATTCAATGGCAGCGTGATGTACTGGCAAAAATGGAAACCAAACCAAACCCAAAAAAGTTCTGTGTTACAATCTTGCCTCTCTAATCTGACGGACTGTGTGTCCTCAGGCAGCTCATTCTATTTCTGTGTCAGTGTATCTCTAACTTGAAAATGAAGATGCTGTATAATCAGTGGAGATATCTCTTTTTAATTACTGGAAATACACAGGATTATAAAATTCTTGCTGTGTTATAGAGCCACTCTACCATGAAGAAATCGTAAATGCATCTGTGAATTTTAGCATGCATTTCTGTTTAACTACCCACACCAACACAAATAACTAAGCCCCAGGGAAACTATTTTGCTGATCCTTGCAGCCTGCCACAAAAGAATTCAACCAGTTTTTTACACATATGGAAAAGGCAGGGGAAAGAGCGGTGCTAGGCAGCTCTTTGCACCTCCAGCTTGGTTCAAACAGGTTTCTTCTCTTCTCTGGGTTGTTATATAATGCTATTTATTCTGAAAGGTAAACCGTTCTGACAGTCCTGGCTTCCCCATCGATTCAGGCCAAGGTATCTGCTAAAGAGCAGAGACTGCACACTCAGCACCTGTCGCAAGGATATGAGCACACGTGGAGGAATGGAACAAACGCAGATTTCCTTCTGACACAGCCAGGACCTGGTGAGGGATTGCAGCCAACACCCCTAAGCATCACTACCCTGCAGGGTATATACAGCCAACAGAACAATTACAGGACACTTCTCTGCCTCAACATCCTTCTACAGATAACTACTCTTAAAACATAAAAGACAAAGTAAAAATGTGGTTACTAGGTTGGAGGGGGGGGGGAAGGAAGTACAGTGTTATGAAGTACAAACACCACTGAAACTTTTCTAAACATCTGCAAAGGGGGATTTTGTTTATTATTATTTACATTGCAAAGGGAGTTTGCCTTTCAGATGTGGTAAAGGTATCTGATAGACCGTTTTTCCACCGATTGGAAAATGACGAGAAAAGTTACGCTGCTGAAGGGGGACCAATATTACTCATGCACACGTGCTCAGAGAGGCAGGTTTTGAGGC